GTAAGCAATTAAGATTCAAAGCACCAATGCACTGGGAAAAATTTATAGATTTACGAATCATGTGACGATAAATTTAAATAAAATTTAATATTTTCTTTAAGTGTAAATTAATAAAATCTAGTATCACTTACTTTTTACATTATGTTAGGTGTATATAGATAATTAAAAAAATAAATATAAATTTCTATACTAAAATTCCTTGCCAGTGCCATAAATTGTATTATCTACACACGATAAAATATTGAAAATGTCATCTAAAAATACAATTATTGAATCTATGAGAATTAATTAGCTGTAATCCAATCTGACAGTGAGTTATGAGGCTGAATAATGAAGTACGTAATAAATTAACCATCAATAATATGACAATTGGCAATTCCTTTCAATATTGAACTCGGCCAGAACGAATTCAATGGGTAGCTGGAACCGGACGAAACTTCAACGGTTTCTTTTATGCGACAAACCACAAAAAGTTGTCAAATTGATTTTATGCACTATTTCAATTGACCTCAAGTTGCTGTGGTTGTTGCCGTTGGAGTGCTTGAAGCAACGGTAGCTACAACAGTTGATATCAGAGTCGCAGCCAGTGCAAAATGAAACGAATTAACAATTTGATGTAACTGTGATTTTTGGTGCTGCTTTTTGGCTGCAAACGTCGCACACGCCCTCAACAAAACGAATTCAAAAGAAATGCTTATCGTGCTTCACAGAAACCCAGCAACAGCAACAACAACAACACAACAGCAACAGCAACAGCAAAACATGAAATTGAAAATGCCAAACGCTAAAAGACAACTAGGCGACCAGTCGCCCAGTACGGACCGTTCAACAATGTTGCCCATAGTAAAACTGTAACGAAACCCGATTGAACCCGCCATGGGTGGCTCGACTTGCCAGGGCCCAGAGCGGCGAGCGAGACGGCAACATTGCCGAACAGCAACAGAGCAACAAAACAGTGGACCAGGGACATGGACAATAACATGTACGAAAAATTTCATTGCTGGTGTGCTTTTTGCTCTATGCCTGGCCACGATTCGCCAAGCCAAAGCCAAAACCACAAGCAACAACGGCAGAAATCTCTGCCAAAAAATCGCTGGCGGGCGTTTTGACCATGGCGCATGGAGCAGCTGCGGGCTTAGGCCAGGCCCAACTCCGGACATATCCTCAAGAGCAACAATAACGCCAACAACGCCAACAACAACAGCAACAACTACAACGACAGCAACGACAAAAGCCCGAAAAAATAATTAATATGCCTCAAAAAAAGAAACCGGGCTGCCTTTATGACAGGCGACAAGGGCAGGGTTCGAGGCAACATCGATCGGGATGCAGCTGCAGCGTAGACGCTGCCCGCCGGCCGCCGGCAGTGGCAGCAGTTTAACTAACGGCTTCTGTGCTTGTTGTGCTGCCGTTTCCGCATCTCGGTGTCGCCTCAGAATGTGCACGATTTTCCTTCAGATTCAATTTCAAGTGCAGCAGCAGCAACAGCAGCAGCAGCAGCAGTGGCAACAACAGCGCCAAGCGCCGCTATTAAGTCGACAACAACAACAAGCAATAACCCTAACCAAGAGAGCCGACTCAGCTGCCTAAGCCGGCAACGCGGTGTGCCTGTTTGCCACTGTCTGCCGCTTCTTGCCGAGATTTCTATCTTTGATCTCTTACTCCACATGCAGCAGCAGCAGCGGCAGCCGCTTGGAGCTCAGGCTGTCTGCTTGTTAAATTGCTCATTTAAACCATAACGAAATGGCTGGCTGCTTGGTTGGGCATGGCCCAGTCAGGCGCAGCATGTGCCGCCGGCTGCACTTCCTAGAACTTCGATCAGGCACTTGTTTTGCTCCCCTATTTGCTAGGGACAGCAACTGGCTGCAATTTGCCTATTGGCAGTCATGCCGTTGGCACTTTTAATTAGCATACAGCGGAAATTAGTTTGCCCACTTTATGTGACATCAGACAGTGGCAATGGCCACGCCAGATGTCTGCCAACAGATTTGCCCGACATTATGGGCGGCTATTGCTGCCTGGTCTCGGCCCCATCAAATGCCCGTGAACTGCCTCAGACCTGTAAGCGCCCATACACATAAATTATGATCTATGGAATTTATCGCTGACATTGCGATAACGAGCATTATCTGGACGAGGACAGAGAATAGGCACGGCTTCTCAAGCAACAAACACATGACATAGACAATTATATTTGATAGTTTTATGGCATTTTTTTTTTGTGCGTAAAGTTTTCTGTTGCAGTTAAAGTTGACAGGGACTGGTATAGTAGAAAGGGAATGCCACATTTTTTTTTTCAATAAAAGAAATGGATAAAAATAATTGTAATTGTTAGAGAGTTAAAGCAAAAGACAGTTAACAAATTCATAAATTGCCAACTCGTTTATTGGGCTTCGAAAACTTTTCGAAACTTATCAGAACACATTTTATCGGAGCGAAATTAAACTTAAATTCAGTTAAAAAAACATATATTGAGAGAAACAAGCTGTTTTATGAACTATCGTTTTATATTTTTCTAATTTGTCTTTAGTTATATCAACCTGAAGGAAAACTCAACAATATCTTTAAGTCGCAGCTACAGCTATAATGCTGCAAGCTTGGTCGTTGGCCTGCCCGGCTGACCGCACGCCAAATTGATGTCACAAAACCAAATCATAAATCAGGCAAATTATAGTTATTATTGCATGCCATATGGATGAACAGACATACAAACATATAAATGAAGTATGCTATACACCTATATAAAGATATCTATGGGCAACAGCTCGTAGAACAAGCGCCGCTGCCAAATCTTGCTTGGAAAAAGGCCATAAATCTTAGCGATATTGTGGCCAGCAGCAATCGACATCGACATACAGCATCGGTACAGACATCGGTATAAGCATCGGTATCGGCATTGGCCTAGGCATAGCCATCGTCCATGCTTGACTGGACAATCATAATAATCACAGTCACAACGGGCAGGCCAGTCGCTGCAACAGCAGCAGCAGCAGCAGCGGCGGCAGCAACAGCAACTGACAACAGGCAACAAAAGCTACTTACTATGTCTATGTCAAGCCGATATGCGACTGATAAAAACCTGTGCAGAAAACAATCAGATATAGAAATACCCTTATAAAGAAGGGTAGCACGGTTAGACGGATCTATTGCAGCTCCCTGTACTACAGTTATATATAATCTACCAAAAAGATGTAAAATGTAAATCTGAACTTATATTCTGCTTTTTCTTTCCAAAGTATCCAGAATTCTATAATAAATCACAGCTTAAGCATTTTAAAGTGTATGGAAACTTCGTTGGCTCATAGGCAACATTTCGGCTTGTTGTTCATTGTTTTTGTTGTGTCTCTCTATATTTCTTTAGCAGCCAGCAAGAAAATTGACAATTGCGCACCTGCTTCATTTTCTTCTTCTCTTAGAAAGCGGGACCACTGCAATAGCAAAAGCGACTGCAACAGCAACAACAACAATGCCACTGCCACTGCCACAGCCGCAGCCACAGCCTGAGCCGCAGCAGCAGTCGCCTGTTTAATGGCACTTAACGGTCAGCATGCTCACTGTGTAGCAGTAAACTTTGTGCTTATAGCAAAACTTTCCAAAAAAAAAATTATATATTTATATACAAAAATCCGGCGACCACGTCTTAAGTTGTATATGCTTACTTAAGCGTATGCCTATATTTAGTTATGCAGCTCATACTGGGCTCATACCTTCGATTTAAGGCACCTTGCATTTGCATAATGCAACAAATATTTACATATCAAATACGTATACATATACATGTGTATTTCTCAGAATAACTATTTCATAAAATGCAGCAATGCTCTAATTGTATGGTAATCGAGTTAGCCCAAAATAAATCTGTGCAACAGACAACGATCCAAATGAATTATGACTAGAGGATCTAAGGCACGCCAGTTTTCAGCAGCTGTGTGCGGCGTCTTTTGTGTGGTTTTTCATTAAAAACTGATTTCGGCCCAAGCCAAATGGCCATCAGAGGCCAATTAAGCGAGCCAAAAATCAGGCTGACAAACCTGGCCAGAAGATCAATAAGCTACTGCTGCTTCTACTGCTGCTGATGATGATGATGAAGTTGTTTTGATAAAGGCCCTGCCTTAGAAAACGTGCTCAATTTATCGAAATCGGTGCAGAGTGCACCATGGTGCATATACTGAGGAGCACTTTGCATGGCCCGCTCGCCCAAGATAAACATCATAAATGCATTGAAATGTCATTGCCAACTGTTGCTATCGGCCGTCTGGGCAATGAGCTGGCCAAAACGAGCCAGCGATGGCGATAATAACGAGAAGCTTAACCTGGCCAAGAGCAGCCGTCAATAGACACAGGAGCAGAAAGTGCCGTTACTCCTTATGCAATTACGAGTACCTGCAATTGCCGAAGCTTAATTAGAAACACATAGAGGGCAACCGAGCTCTGGACCAGCTCCACTCTAACGTTGGCTCCACTTGGACTCGTACACAGTCAGCATCTCTCATTGGACTGATGATTATTTATCACCGTCGTGAGTCGTGCGACAATGATGAGACGGCCAAAGCAACAAATCCTATACACAGTGAATCACAATAAACCAAAAAACACAATTCAAAAAAATATTAACAGAAATACTTTAACAACCTTATTATTATTATTTTATATTCGTTCAAATATATAACTTCTTCAAGAGAAATTTAATTTTTTTCTGAGTCGACAAGTTTATTTATTAGATGCTTAAACCACTGTGCAGCGTTGGCAACATTTGACTGGCAACATGTTGGCAAGTGGTTGCTCCCTTCCTGTCAGATTGGCCACTCAATCTTCAAAGCCAGCGAACTTAAGAGGGCCTCGTTAAGGGAGCGACATTCTGTGAGAGCCAGACTAATTTTGAATCAGCTGGTTAAAATAAACAAAATGCCACATGTCATAGCGAAAGCTGATTATTAAGTAATTTTCGAGCACATTTTCACTTTAGTTAATAACTAACTGAACATGTTCATCTAGCGAACTGGACATCCCAGTTCAGTTACCAATTATCGCTAAAGCCATGAAGTTTGTTCTTAATTTCCTTGCGTTTGGCTTGGTTGTAGAAGTTTCAAGCCTGGGATACACAAGGGAACCTTTTGTAAAGAATTGTGAGTCAGATCTATTATTTTGCGAATAATCTTATTACATATAATGTCATCCCATATATAATACAGTGAAATGCTTGTTCCGCGTTAATCCAGGTCCATGTAAAGGCAAATTTGAAATGTTTGGCTACGATCCCTTTGCCAGACAATGCTCCAAATTCTTTTACAGTGGCTGCGGTGGAAATCCAAACCGTTTCGGTTCAGAGGTAGAGTGTCGGCATGCTTGCAAAAAACTTGTATCCGTGGATGAATATGAAGATTATGAATATACTGACGACCAGACAGATATAACATTTCCAGACGTTGAATATACAGATAATAATGATAAAAATACTGACGTCACTTACGTTACGGATGACGATTATCAAAGTTATGAATATCAATAATGAAAAACAAAACGAAACCTACAAAAATTGATTTTATGAAAACCAAAATAAAAACATAAGAAAGTAATCAACGCTTAAAGGACGAGAAAATGAAGGACGCTATTAATCATGCCCAAGAACAGTTAATTAGTAAAAAGTTACACAATGACACACATATATTCTAAATTAATATGTTTTTTTAGAAATGCAGCTGAAGCTAAATTTTAAGTTAATCGTAATGTAAATTAACAATTAATGTTGTGTAATAAACAATTGGTGCAGCTCAAGGCAGTCATATTTAAATTATAATAAGCATATTATTCTATAACAGCAAATGCGGAATTCGTTTATGTTTGCGGATGTTGTTTTATGTGTAGACACAGCCCCCAGCAACAACAACACTATCAGACAACAACAAGTTGCGTAGCCAATGCAGCGGAACTAAACCATTAACGCCTCAAACTGTGCGATCGAATGCCGACTTATGAGCCAGAATCGTATCGCACATTCTAATGACTTTATTACAAGCAATGCAGGGCATATGCAATGGGTTATTGTTGTTGTTGCCGCTGCTGCTGCTGTTGTGGCTGCTGCACCCACTAACAAACATGACGTCAGGGGTGTGCCACAGTCGTCGTCGTCGTCGTCGGCTTGATGCCTTTTAAGTGTGCCGTATGCTGAAATAAATACGAGTACCAGGCCAGGGCAGGCCATGCTGGGCCAAGCAGCGACTGTATATCAGTTGACTTTTCTGGCTTTGACAATTATTTATGGTAATAAATAGAACCGCCGGCTTGAAGCTGGGCACAGCTAAGCTGGATGTACAGCTATATACACCTATCAGAGATACTAAATCTAAGTTCCAAGTCGAGCCCACATAATGCGCCTCTAATTGCCGCACTCGGCAAAATGTGTTACAATTTCTATAAAATTTTACGAGCTCAGCGATTTGTGCATGCAAATTTCGATTGGCAATTACCACACAGGCGCAGAGCATATTAAAATGTTGAAACGTCATTGAATGCAACTGGCAATTTTTATAAAGCAGGCGTCCAGTTCATTGTCAGACAAACAAATGGCCAATGTCTCATTAATGCCACACAATGGAGGCAGCCAGCGGCGGCGGCAGCGACGTCCCGCTGCGTCCAAAATATGCAACATTCATCAATCACACAGCGCACACTGCTGGCCAGGAATGAGAATGAGTTCACGCGCTGCACTTGGGGTCGAACTGCGGGCTCTAGCTGTGCCAGTGCCAGTGCCAGTGCCAGTGCCTGGGCTTGGGCCTGTTCTGGGGCCTGTGCCTGTGGTCGGGGCAAAAGTTTGGTCTTGGATTGATTTGCTCGGCGCATTTTCAAGTCAATTACACATATTTGTGGCATTTGTGGCACTCAAATATGAATACCCATGCGGTGGGTCGCAGTCGTAGGTGTTAGCCGTTTGTCTGTTTTGCTATGTTTTTCCCTATGCCACCTCTGTCTGTGGATTTTGTTTGTTTGCTGTGTGTTTGTGTGTGTGTGTGTGTGTGTTTGTGAGCGGGGCATGCCACAACAAAGCCATATGTGTCCGCCCACAGCGGCGCTGGTCAAACAGCGCCACAAGTGAGTCACGTTGCCAGTCAAGCGTGCCATAAATTATACCCAATACAGTTGCACAATAGCGACAACAATGGCATTTAGAGGGCCATCTAAGGGTTAAATAGCGTCTCTTATCGAACAGCTGTTTCAAAAGCTTCACACGCCCCCATATAGAAAACACAATGCCCCAAGCACTAGGTTGATAAGAAAGCTTTACTCACTTGTCTGTTTGGCTCAACACGGCGCATGTGTGATGAGCAAGTCAGAGCGCGAGTTAGAGTGAGAAAGAAAAGAGAGAGCGAGTGCGATTGCAGAGAGTGCGGATGCGAGCGCGCGCGCATTGATAACAAACGTAAGCTGAGCAATGCTGCACTTAAAGCACGGATTGAATAGAAAACTCAAATTTTATAATACAAAAAATATAAAGCTCTCTTACTCTAAAATACCGCGTAATCTACAAAAAAAAAAATAAAGAAAAACAAAACATAAAAAATAAATGTAGTACCCTTTCTTTTTTGAGTAAGAGAAATCTAATTAAAACCTACATTATTTAAGTTAGAAAAATCAAAATTAATAAAAAAGTTTAAAGAATTAAAATTTTTATTATTTTAGTTTTAAATTTTATAATTCCAAAGAGACAATCAAGCAAAAAGTAAAGCAAAGTCGTAATATAATTTATTTAATTGTTTAAACGTGGTTTTATTTTATTAAAAGGCTGTCATTGGTATGAACATCTATTTGATGAGTCTACAAACTGATCGGTTCGGTTATTTTTGGATATCAAAACAAATAAAACTACACATAATGGTGATAATTTTTGTCATCAGAATATACATAAGTATTTTATCTATAAAAATGATTAGATTTTAGTGACCTATTTTTATATTTTTTATATTTATATACGGTTTATTACTTGGTTTGCTTACGGATTCTTTATGCTTTCGTAAATTACAATTTATGAATTTTTTCTCCAATAGATATAGGAAAAAACATAGGATAGAAAACATCCAAGAGCTGAGCAAGCCAACTCAAAAACCGTGTATAAAAATATTTTATCAATACTTTTTCAAAATGGTACATTCATTAGTGTGGTTCGTACTAATGAGTTTTATATTTAATATTTAAGTCTCTATAAAAGATGATAAGATGTAATATAATAAAAATATACGAAAGCGATACTTTTAAAAATGTACATACACAAAGTCAACTAAGGATTACTAGATTTTCTATTTATTTATAAGATTAACATATGATATATGATCGTATGCATGAAAATATCTGGATAATGCATTTATGTGGCAACTAAGGCGTTCCCTTTGCCACATTCTTTCTTCATGATGACAACTAAATAAAATGTTGATACTATTTTTACTACCGTCGCTGCTCTGCACTCGCTCCCATCCCCCACATTTAGCCGCTGGTGACACACTCTGTGGCTGATATGGCCGCTCTCTCTCTCGCTCTCTCTCTCCGTCGCTCTCTATCTCTCTGTCGCCCTCTCTGTTTCTAACTTGCTCTCTGATGCCTGTCAGTTTTGCACATCAGAATACGTAAACAAAAGCATACTATCGTGTAAATAAACAGAAATAAAATATTTATTCTCATCGCTCGGAGCTCAGCTACGACTCTCTGTCGCTCTTTGGCCCGCATGGAGCAGCGACTGCGGCGACAGCCAAAGCAAAACAATCAAGTGAAAGCGCTGAGCAAAGCATAGCATATCTAAACTTATTGTACTGTATTGTATCCACAACTTTCATTGGCACTGCTGCGCTGCCGTCTCGCAGCAGATACAGATACTAAGCGTACATTGCACAAGAGCAAAGTGCACGGCGCATGGAGTCACAGAGCGCGGAACACGGAGCACGGAGCACGGAGAGCGCATTGTGTGTGAAAAATGTAGCAGAAATTCTTACGGAACCCAGACCCAGACACTGGCAGAGTCAGAGTCACCATCAGCACGCCAGGCTGAGTTGTCAGAGTCGTCAGTGTCGTCAGTGCGCGGTCGGAGCCAAACGCGGGCGTAGCAAACTCATTTCGTAAATGGAAATGTGCTGGAGACGCAGACGACGCGGCAAGCCAATGAAATGAAATTTATTAAATTAAAGAAGACGAGAATACATAAACGAACGGAAGTGAAAAGTTACACATCCCAGCTACATACATATATGCATAGTGTACACAACTTAATAAACTAATCGCAAAAGGTAGCTAAACGAATAGCTCACTTGAGCATAGTGCAGCCAGAAAATGTATCTGTGAAGTAGCCATAAATGTGTGTATGTACGTGATGTGTGTGTGTGTGTGTGTGTGTGTGTATGTACACATAGCAGCCAAGTGCCTGATTGGGGTGCGTGTGTGAGTGTACATGAAAGTACACGCCTTTTGAGTGCAGCAGCAAATATGCCAATAACAAACATAGTTGGAATTTGTTTTCCACAGCAATTCTCATTAATGGCCGCAGATCAAATTTAAGCAAATTGGTTGAGAGAGGCGGAAATGCGCCCCAGACAAACTGTCGTCTAGGAAATCAAGCGGACTTTCCCATATGTACACAATAGTGTCTGGCTGTTTGCCAACTGCCTTATATCCAGTGGGTTGCGTACGGGTCAATATCCTTTGACCCAATTATGGGAGCCACTATAAATTCATAAGCTAGCAGCCAATTGACATGGCTGTTGTTGTTGTTGTTGTTGCTGCTGCTACTCTGACATTGTCGACTCGTTTATAATGGGCTTCAATTTCCGTTGCTTTTGTATTTGGCTTTATTTGCATGGACTAACAGCCCAACGCTGACCCCTTCCCCCATACTCATCGCCCACAACCACTACACATGGCACGCCTCTGAGCTTGCTTTCAAAAAAAAAACACACAGTTGCGTATGGAGTTGTAAGTGGAGGGCGGAGCCAGCCCCTTGGATGGTGGGCGCGGCAGGACCCCAGTCAGAGTCTGCAGGAATACTCTCTGGAGCAACACACTCTGAAAAGCTCTCTCGCACCTCTCTCTCATTTTGTCGATGGGACGTGCCTAACCTACCTTGCGTTGAATTTTATAGTAGCATATAAAGTACATGTGAGTGTGGGTGGGTGTGTGAGTGTGAGTGTTTAGGGTGTGCGCCTGTGTGTGTGTGTAGGGCAGAGCGTGTGTAAGCAGGTGATTATCTGTTGCAGTGTTGTATTTATCTCATTGAAGCCGATGTGACAGACTGGCAGGCAGCATGCTTTCAATTTCTGGCTCCCCATTGGGCGATATCAAAAGACAGCCAGACAAACAGACAGAGTACAATGGTTAAAATTTCACACAAGTTCAACAAATTTCAAAGGGCATATATATTAAAAATTGAATACGTATTTATTCAACAACATTTTCGACTCTTACTTTTTACTAAAGATTTCAAAGATTTCACCATTGTCTAAGGCAATGTTGACAATTTATATAGGGTTTAATATTGACTCAATATATTTTTCACTGTACCGAAATAATTAGAAAGTTTATGTGCGTGCATTTTTGCATAATTTGTACATTAGATTTGAATATATGAATATTATTCATACTGAAAGACGGTTTTTCGGTGCGACATTTTGAATTTTTGCCACTGTGTGTGGCCCTAACGGGACGCTTCAAATATACTCAAAGATATTTCAACGCATGAAAAGCACTTCATCAGCCTAGCAGCTGGCAGGCTACGAGGGCAGCCAGTGCCACATGAATGCTCCAGGGGACCTGTGCGGTATGTCTTATTGTGCTATATTATTTTTTTTCGTAATGGCAGTCCTTAGACTGGCATTACCGGGCTGGGGTAGCACAAGGAAAGTCATTAGAGCTAAAAGGCCAGACTCGAGCTAAAAGCTAAAAAGCCACAAAGCCCGCAGCCCCGCAGTTTTAATGAAGTGCACTTCACAGTCATAATTCATTTTCAGTAAATCAACTCAGCGATGTGACCGGGCGCTGATTTCTGAAAGCGATTAAAACGATGTGCGACCACTTGAGAAAGTCCATTAATGGCCATTAATTTGCAGGCAGGCACGTTATTTACACGCACAGGAAATGGGCAAGGATCAGGAGTTTCTGGAGGCGGCGCGCAATGGCAATATCAGCCACATCGAGAAGGTGCTCTCCCAGAAGGGTAAACGTGCCGGGCCACTGGCAAGCCTGCGACGCACTGGCGTCAATGTGCAGGACAGCGGCGGTTACTCGGCACTGCATCATGCCTGTCTTAATGGGCATGAGGATATTGTGAGACTACTGCTGGCACATGAGGCGTCAACCAATTTGCCCGACTCCAGAGGCTCTTCGCCGCTTCACTTGGCCGCTTGGGCTGGCGAGACGGACATTGTGCGGCTGCTGCTAACGCAACCCTACCGACCGGCCAATGCTAATCTGCAGACCATTGAGCAGGAGACACCACTGCACTGTGCCGCCCAGCATGGACATACTGGTGCTTTGGCCCTGTTACTTTCCCACGATGCAGATCCCAATATGCGCAACTCACGCGGCGAGACGCCACTGGATCTAGCTGCTCAGTACGGACGCCTGCAGGCAGTACAAATGCTCATTCGTGCGCATCCCGAACTGATTTCACATCTGAGCACGGAGGCGGTGGAGGGTGGAGCGCCTTCGCCCTCATCACCATCGTCGCCCACGCGTAATATATTTCCGCACACCTGCCTTCATCTGGCCAGTCGCAATGGCCACAAGAGCGTTGTCGATGTGCTGCTCGCTGCCGGCGTCTGTGTCAATCTATTGACGCCCTCGGGCACAGCCCTGCACGAGGCGGCGCTGTGCGGCAAGGAGAATGTGGTAAGAACTTTGCTACGCGCTGGCATTGATTTGTCGGCCACGGATAATGAGGGACGTACAGCACTGGACATACTTCGTGAATTTCCGCCGCATGTGACGAAGCACATAATTGCAGTGATTAACAGTACGTATACGTAATATTGTTTAGCAACTTTACGCTGGCTCTGATGTCATATTGCGGCACAGACTATCTTTATATATGTTATAATATGTTTCTGATATCATCAGACTAAGTATATCAAACCTATATTTATCAGACTTTCGCCACCAAATGGATACAGATGAGGTCGACGAGGTTATCTATCGCCAGCATGTGGGTCCACCGACAACTGGGCGTGACCAGAACGCTAAACAGCCGCTGCCGCATAACAGCCACAATCACTATCATTTCAACTCCAACAACCACTTGCTTAACCACTCGCACTCCATGCAACAGTCCGGTTACAGCAAACAGCGGCTAAGTGCCGGCAATGGAGGCCACTACAATGGCGGCAAATCTCTGGATAGTTCACTGCAGCCAGAGGACAAATTCTACCAGGATCTCAACGCACACTCGCCACTGCACATACAAAGGTGAGCCGCACATTTAATTTGCCTATTAACTTAATTCACATTTCTGCTCACAGCGACATGGGCGGTGGCTTCAGTGTCAGTCCCTCATCCTCGCTGAGCAGCTTTGAGCCGGCCTCCGTGTCGCCGCGTTCACGCTGCTCCACTGGCGGTGGTACACAGCCCTTGCAAATGAGCACATTTGCACCGAGCGGACCACCCAAGAAGCCGCCGCGGCGCAATCTCTCTGTTTCACCTACACACGCTGGCCCAGGTCAGCAGTTTAGCTATAGTTCACCCTCCAGTCAGGGTCAAGGCCAGCAGGCACGGAGACGACCACCAGCCAACGAAAGTCCCTATTCGCATCAGAGCCATGGCAGCGTCGGCGGCATGAGCTTCGATGAGACCCAGCTGCGCGAGCGTCAGCGCAGCGATCGACTATACGCCAGCGCCAGACAGAGCACGCGCTCTGCCGTGGCTGGCAGCTTGAGCCTAAGCTCCAGCAGTGAGTACACTAGCGAATGTACCTTGTATTTAGACTATATGCTAAAATGTTGCGCACTTAGATGACATGCTGGACCGCCAGTGCAGCAGCTCAGAGCTAAATAGTGAGACTAGCGTGCCAAATTCAAGCGGAGAATCACCAGCTGCAGCTGGACATGCCACCAATTCGATGAAGCGGCCCATTCCGGCCCCACGCAGCGCTACAACCAAATTATCAAAAGAGCTGCTCAAGTCCTGTGAGAGTGCCACCCTCAAGTCGTACAATCCCAATCGCAAACTCAAACGTAATCGAAACAGCTGGTGAGTAACCAATTTCACGAAAATATCCAAAGTTAATTAATTAATTATAATTATAATTATAGTTTTGACTAATCATTAATAATATTAAATTAACCATTTTTTAATCTTGTGTTTTTAGTTTTGTTTGTTAACCTTTTAACCATCATTAATACAAACAAATAAAAATCATTTAACAATAGGTCAGTTAATCTTTTTTAATCTTTTAAGTTTTTGAGAAATTGGTTGATGTTCATGTTATATGTCCCCAGACATTACATATATTCCTGATCAGTAACAACAGCCGAGTTGATAAAGCCATATCCATCTGGCTGTCCGTCCTTATTAAAATTATTATGCATGCGCATTGAATCGATTTGAAACATATTTTATATATATGCATATAATCCCTGGAACAGCTCCATTAATGTAGCCGAAAAGTCGGATGGTGGGGAGCAAAACTGTGATCCCAAGCAGCAAACTCCGAGCAGTCCCACACACTACAAGCAACCACCAACGCCGGATCATCCGCCACCCAGCTCAAGCCAGGCAGAGCGCACCATACACGAGCGCATCCGTCCGCTGAGCCAGGAGTACAAACGCCGTTCGGCGCTGCTCCAGTTGCAGGCAGCGCAGCAGCTGATGATTGAGACGGGCTCATCACCATCGAAGTTGCTGCCAACACTAAGTACGCCGGGTTACGACTACGATGATACAGTAACAGTGGTGCCACGCTGTCCGGCTCCATCGTCTGGGTCACTCAGCTCCAGTATTTCTTGCTCGGATCACAGTCTCTCGCACTCTACGGACTATGTGGAGGAGTTTGTCAGCGATATACCCTTTGCTGGGCTACTCAAAGGCGCCACACAACACAAGGAAACCAAGAAACAAGCAGAGCAGACTCAACCGCCGCGTGTGCGCCCACCAATTCCCACGAAGCCCTTGGTGCCCGAGAGAAAGTTTGTTAAGCCGCCGACGACACCCACCAATGCTGAAGTCAAGCTGGAAGCAAATGGCAATGGCACAGCTGAGAAATCAACTCTCAATGCAGACAAGTCGCCCGCAAAATCACCTGCCAAGTCACCTGTCAAGTCACCTGTTAAGTCGCCAGCAAAATCCCCAGGCAGTGGAAAGTCGATAGCGCGCAACTCTCTCAATTTGTTGAGTCCCTTTAATGCTGAGGAGGCACGCAAGAAAATCTCTGAAATCATTGAAAACTTTGGCAGCGGCATACTCAACACGAACATTACGCCCACCCATGATATTGAGCTGGATTTCGAAGATCTGGAAGTGCTGCCGGAGCGTCGAGAATTGGCCGTAAGGCTGCGCAACGCGGGCTTGTTACATCTGGAGCGCATACTCTTTGAGAACGGCTATGATAACTACAAGTTTGTGGTAAGCATGAAAAATGAATAACTTTTCCACTGATATGCCATGAGTTAACTTTCCCAAGCGTAATGTGTTCGAGGAGCCAGACATTCCGCTGCTGCACATACCGGAACGGGATGCAACAAAGCTGCTCACCTTCGTAGGGACATTGCCGCAAGCGGAGTTTCTGCCGCAGGTGCCATTTAAGGTACAACAGGAGAACAAACAGCAAGGCGTGGCCACGCTGCAGCAATGGCTGAACAGCATCGCATTGCCCGAGTATCTGGAGTTCTTCAAGTGAGTTTTTGCATTGCGTTAACATATCAATTTAAAGAAATTCTCGGCTTAAAACTTGCAGCAAGCATCTGTACAACACTATTGACAGTGTCTGTGGTGTCTGGGATGTGGAGCTGCAGACGGTGCTGGAGATTAATAAATTGGGCCACCGCAGACGCATTCTGCAATCCCTGGCGTATATACGGAAAATGCGTGAATCCAAGTCGCTTAAAACCCCGCTGGCCGAAAACAACGAAACAAACAAAATGACAACGAATGGCAACAAGGAGGGCACGGTATCTATCACCACAGCGGACAGTACACAGCCACCCACAAATGCTTTGCCGCATCGAAATTCCATGACGGGTTACCGCAAGAATCGGTAGGTTTTATTCAGCAGAACTCAAACATGTGCAATATCAAATGTTACATTACGCAGTCCTGCACCACCGCCGCCGGCACCACCGGCACAGAAGGCCGCAACAGCTGCAAACTCAGCTGCTCCACTCCAAATACGCGCACCCTCCGAGCTGCTGCTGGGTCTGCCGGCCAATATGCGCACCACCCAATGGCGTCATTCGGCGCAAACTCTGCTCGATGAGCACATCAAATACGAGGTCCAGGTGAGTGAATGACTTTGTTTACGTCGACATCATCTAATCATTTGGTTATTGCCTTTGCCAGTACCTCGGCTCAACGGTTGTGAAAGAACTACGTGGCACTGAATCCACAAAGAAATCTATACTAAAACTGAAATCGTCCTGCGCGCAGACAAATGAAGAGGTTCATAAGCAGGGCGCACAGCTGTCGCTGGCAATTTGTCACCGCGGCGTGGAGTTCATTGATGTTGCCACCAAGGTAAGTGGAGCAGCAATATATTTTATGAATCGATTTATACATTCGTCTTCGCCAGCGTGTTATCTGCGAGCATGAGATACAGAACATCAATTGCGCCTGTCAGGACTCGGAGGATATGCGCCATTTTGCCTACATAACGAAGGAGCAGGATATGCACTATTGTCATGTGTTCCTGGTGCAAAGCACGGTTTGTTACAGCCTAAAAAAGCCATGTGGCCTATGCTAAAAACGTAAATTTTACAGGATCTGGCCAATGAGATAATACTGACGCTGGGCCAAGCCTTCGAAGTCGCGTATCAGCTGGCGCTGCGCGACGGTATTGTCACAACGCCAGCTCTGCTACTCGATAATGGCATGCTTCAGGGTGAATATTGCGGCGGTGGCACCAAATAGAGCCAGGAGCTGGCCACCGCCCGGGCCCAAAATCAATCTTTGGCAGCCAGCTCAAATCGCACGCACAGCCGAAGTCGTAGCCTCTGCGCCAAACTATTTTGCCTGACCAACTACGGTGCGCTGTTTAAGTTATAGATGGGAATCGTGTGGCAACTATTCAAATTGATCCTAGTCCTTGAGAATTTTATATATTTAATTGGTATTAAGTTTTAAATGGCCAACAAGAACAACAGCACATTGAACAAAAAGACTTTTTACAAATGGCACAAATTTTTTTAATGAGCTGCACTCAAGAAAACTCCAGCTTTTTTTTGTCAAGCTACAAACTTCTGAGTACCAGATCAATAGAACGCACAATTTTTCCTGATATCATCGTTGTTTCGTTTAATTTGAAACGAAAATAATGCATTTACAAACTTTTAAAATCTTCATAAAAACCAATTGCATTTAATCAAAGAAAGAAAATACCCACTTGTGTGCAATAATGTTTTAGCAAATTTTAGCTATATATCTAATCCTTAAATCGACTAAATCGTAAATTAATTAACATACTATTGGCACATAAACAATTTTATTGATGTTAAAAGCTGTATACAAAAAAAAAAAAAAAAAAAAAAAAAAAAAATAATTGACGCAGCGAACTGCTTATAAAAGCAATGAAAATTCATATCCCGCAAACAAAAATACAAATTGGCTATATACAAGCGATAAATATATATACATATATAACTAATCCCAATGAGCGTTGTTATATAATTTTAAATAAATTCATATTAAACAAAAATAAAACAATGCTAAACGAAAACTCTAATCAAAATAAATACAACGCAAAAAAGTTATAAGCAAGTGTGCTTACAAAATACAAAAAAAAAAAATAAGAGATATACGCAAAACATTTAAAAACAATTTATAATATGGGTGAAGCATTTGAATATGTTTTATAAAATTGGGAAAAATTTGTAAAACTAGTCCTTTAGTTGTTATTGGAGCGTAGGTAAAGCATTTTAATTTGTTTAATTTGAAACTGATTTGAGGCAAAGCCTTGTTGTTATCATTTGTTTAACATGAAATTTGAGTTAATTATTATTTAAATAACAACCTATTCATGATTAAAATACAAAAGTCTTTCTCTTGATATGTGCAATGCTTTAAATGTTAGCCTGCTTTATGGTACAACAGTGTTCATAAGAAGTACCTATCCATAAAAATCATGTGAAAAATCTACTAATTAAACAAAATATTTATGCATTTTCTGTACGTAGTTTAACAGTTTGTTATGCCACTTGGAATACATACATATATATATATATATATATATATATACATATAAATGCATACATTCAAAGAACTAACATACATACATGCATACACAGGCTAGCGCATAACTAATGAAATTTAAAAGCGATCTATGCATAAATAAATATAGCAAAAAAAAATAACATGTTTACCGAAAAAAAGCTAAATGGAAACCTGTAAACCTGATTTGTCTTCGTCAAATTGCATAAACAAGTTTACCAAACATACTAAAACACAACACAAAAAAAATGAAAAAGATAAAAAAAAAATTATTGAAAATACGCACACGCATACATATGTGTGTGTACATATACATATATGTACAACTAACAACAAACCTTATACAAATCAATACTAAATAAATGCATAAATATGTATGTAATTTAATGAAGCCGCAATTGTTTATCTATTATTTATAGTATTTATCTACTGACCAGGTCAGTGCAGCATTTAAAACGCCTCATGTCAATTAAGGCGCACTTTCCCACAGGCCTCTGCCAGACGTGCCAACTGCACGTCTCCACCGCTTCCAGCTCCCAGCATCAGAGCAGAACGCGGATCATTTACACAAGTTGGTCGCGAGCCGGTTTGGCGAAACGTCTTGTTGGTTTTTATAAGGCTAAATGCGTTAAGCATTTGATCATACGAATATTAATTGGCAAACACCAAAGCGCAAGCTCAGTCGGGACACCGACTACAGCTTCAACTGCAGCGCCAACCCCAGCTCCAGACTATGCCCCTGTCCCTGACTCCTCGGCACACGCACACACGTCGCTAATGTTGCCAGCAATAAGTTGCCGGCGTGCGTCAAATGTTGCCAAGCAACACGATAGCATTGGACAGGAATGGTGCTGGTGGCGGGAGCAGGGCATCAGCTGCTGTTACCAGCCAGAATGACGACGCTGCAACATCTGCTTGATGCTGCCGCATCTTGCGCTTAACGGTTTAAATTATTTCTCGTCTCGGGCGTCTCTGGCTAGCGTGCAATTTGTGGCGCACAGCTTATCACAATTTCATTATTACAAGTATTATTATTGGCCATAGTAAATTTGCAGCAAGTAGAGAGCAGCTGCCATTTGGCATTGCCAGTGCTGTGCGTTTATTTGTAATTGAAATTGCGTGACTTTATTCTTCAATTTCGCCATTTTCCCGTAATTTCTGCGCTTTGCCATTGCCATTGTTGCCATTCAAACGAAAGAGAGATAAGCTTGCACATTTTGCCGTTGTATTCATACACACACTCACACACTCGCACACGCACGCAAGCACTTACATACGTGTGCAACGAAAACTTTTGGCGAGCTTTCATTTTACCAGCGAGAACAACAAAAGCAGCAAACAAAATAAAAAGCACAAACAAAAGCTGGCAGCTACCAGCTAACAAGGCTGTTCGCCTGTTCCAATGCGAGCAAGCAGCGCAATGTTTGCCCAGCCCTTGTGAACTTGAGTGTGTATATGTGCGTGCGTGCGCGTGTATTGTCACACTGTGAGTATTTAAGTTAAAGCACTGTGCAGCGGTTTGTTGTTTTCTTGCCTTTTGCATTGCTGCACGCCTGATGAAAATTGTACCAAAAAATCGCCGTTCGTTAGTGAAACGCATATCTGGCGAGTGACTGAAACGCGAGCGATTCGTGATTTCGTTGCGACAATATACTCGCTCTATTAAATTGAGCAACGTTGCTTTCGCTGTGTTTTTAGCGTGTTAAACAGAATTCAATATTGTATTCAAAATATCAAAAACAAAAAGAATATTAATATTCTGTTTATATCAGCAATATCCTAATGCCTTTCTGTTCTGCCTTAGAAAATGTAATTTGCGAACTGTGAATCATCATTTTACCAAAGCAACTTGTTTTTAAACACTCCTTTGACTTATTAGGTGAAAAAAATCAATGTATCTTCTGTGCATTTTATGATTAAGGCTTAATATATAAAAATAAAATCACTTAGTAAAACAAAATATTTAAATATATTGTAATAGTATCTGATATATATAATCAAATTTTATTGAATTCGCTTTGATTAGAAATAGTTTGTATTATTGTATTTGATCTTGATATTCATATTTTGGGCTGTATTTACAAAACCTGAGCTACCTTTGCATATATATAACGATTATTCTGATATATAAACAAAACTAGCTGAGCATCTTTTTCTTACAAAAATTGATGCAATGTTCTTCGGAGAAGAACTTATTGCGATTGCCACCACAGTTGGAGTAATCAAACAATTGGCATCGTGATCGACCTGGATTATAGTACCATAACGAGCGGTGTCCTTCACATAAACCATATTCGGGACGCGCTGAGCATATGCCTGCAGAGATACCATATCAACTATCAGCAGTCCCTTCACACTTGTAACTTACGCGTCCTTAAAGCATTGTTTCTATCCTTTGCAGTGTTATTTTTTGCGCCAGTTGCCGTTGAGATTAACAACAAGAACACACAATATATGGCTAATATGACTTTCATTTTTGAACCGATATAGCGACAAGCAAGGTATAGTATGGCACTGCATCGATTTGGCCTACGCCGACCTCTTTATATATCGCAGCTTCTTAATGGAAATGTGTTTTGTGCACTTGCCGCTAATTGGCATAACACATTTGCGGTGTATATATATTTACAGCGCCTATGCATTTTTGTGCACAAATATGAAGATAAAATATTGAATAGTTTTTAGGCTTAACTAAGGGTTGAAAAGTATAACCAAATATTTATCGATAACCTCACATTTTATAAAAAACTTTTGAATATTGTTAGAACGTATCATTCTCGACTTCAATAATTAAATTGATAGTTTTATTTTTTGTATACAAATAAAATAGATTAATTATTACTATTTGATATCATGTCTAGGACGCATGGGCATTTCCTTTGCGATCCATTCTTTAGCTCTATCAGTGCAAAATTCATCACATTCGGCTTTGGTAAAGTAACGATTACGATTTCCTCCGCAATTTGAATAGATGAATTTCTCGCATTTAAGTTTATACTTATTAAAATACCACATCTGACGTCGGCCCTTGCATAGGCCATACTCAGGCTTCGTATAACAAATGACTGTAAGATACAGAATTGTGCACATTACCTAAATGTCCACAGGATAATCCATCAATTTATCATAAAAACCTTTAGAGAGTTTATCAAACTGCATTTTGCGTGCACCAGAATCAAAGCTCATGCTATCAGGCATCTGAGCCATTACAGTAACAGCCATTAGTAAAACTAAAAACAGAGCTATAAAGCGTGCCATCCTGTACTTCAGCTGATGTTGTTCTTGAATCGAATGGAAAATGTGACTGAATAAACTGATTCACCTACATCTAACATTTATACCATTCACGAGTGGACTTGCTAACAACTGTTTTGTCAAAAGCAGACTACCTTTTAATAAAACCAATTGTTTAAAATGGTTTTGGACAGTTTTTTAAACAAAAAAAAAAAAAAAAAAGGAAAAACATTAAATAGCTAAAGCGCAATGCAATTGCTCAATCTGTAATCAGTGGTCAAAATTATTCGACCGGTTAACCAGTTAGTTAGCAAGCGAATTCAATTAAATTTCTCAATAAATTATAAGTGCAAAAACGCACGCGTTTCTACACACACGGCTCAGCTGTGGTGCTGCATACTTAGATGCATAAGAGTGTAAACAGTGAACTGGTCCGGTGTTTAAACCGGTACTTAGTACACGAATCGAGATTACGCAATCCCCGCACATCACATACCATCACACATACGCCATGTTGTACGTAGAGCATAGTCATACAAATGTAGACATGTCTCTCTGGCATTTGTCTTCTCGCAAAACGAAATCGAAAACATCGGAAAAATCGAAATTCTAGATCAAGGCCAATATTATACATGCATACATACATGCATATATATGTACAAATACGCACACACACTTAGTCGCTGACACACGCAATGCATGCGTAAAATAACTCAAAACTAGTTTTTCATTGGAGGAGGATGCTTGTGCTAGGCCTGTTAGCCAAACGCACGCAAACTGGGTCAAAAGGAAGCACTGCCAATGCGGGCAATAAATTGCAATTGAAATGAATTTTGTCATTTGACAATTTGCATTTGTAAATTACAAGACAAAACACTTAGCGGCACTTACGCGACTGACAGGGCCACAGGCTCCGCGGTCCGGGGCGGCAACCCCAATTACATATCCAAATACATTATCAAAGTTTACGATTGCCAATATGTCATTGATCAGCCGTTTATTTATAACAAACACCACTTGAAGGCTGCACTCAAGTGAAAAAAAAAATATTATTTCAAATTGTATGACTAAGAATAATGCCCCTTAAAAAATATAAAAAAAAACTTACATTTATAGCACTAGACGTAATAAAATGTTGTTTTCAAAAGTGTTCTACACATTTTTGAAATATAATAAAATATTCATCGTATTTTTACCTAATAATCTATGATGAGGAAAAAACGAATTAAAATAGCAGCACAGAAAACAATACAATTGCAATTGCAATGCTGTTGACAGAATTCGAAGAAGACTCGCACATGTATACAGGAGTAATACTATTCTTCATAAGCATCAATAGCCGAGACGACTTAGATATATCCGTCTGTTTGTGCGTATTTCTGTCCGTATGTATAAAGGCGATCTCAGAACCTATAAGTGACCTTGTACGTACGTCCTCCTCGTGCCGGCGAAGTACGAGATACCGATAATCGATAACTTGCCCCGTTTCCAAGCGATAACAAAATCCAGTTTTTAATCAAAGCCTCTTAGGTTATAGTTTATAAGAGACATGTATCTTCCAGAATAATATATATCAAGTATCTTTCATTTTTTTATTTGAACTATAGCCTTCTGTTGATAAAACAAAAAAGCCTGTATTATTTAATAATTTAATACCCAGCTTTGGGCCATTTCAATTCGATTTCGACATTTGTGTACCAGATTTATTTACATATGTATATATGTATGTATTTTGATCGGAGGTGATTGCGAGGCCGCGGGACTTGCCAGCTAGTTGAGCTATTAAGAAAATTAGCGAGCATAATTCTATTAATTTAAATGTTGCATTTAATGTGCTGGCAAAACAGTTTTCAGGCTTCTTGCGATTATTATGGTTATTAGCTAGAAAAGAAACACTTAGGGCCGCCTTGGGCTCGCCTGTACTGGTCGATTATCGATTGTCTCTGGCCTCGTGGAGCGTGTCAAGGCCTAGAAAGCAGGCGGAGATTGAACAATTCATAACTTATGGCATTATCAAATGCTAAATCTATCGATATCAAAAGATTGATGACAAACGAAATGCAAAATTTGGCAGGCACTAAATAAATATTCATATCTACAGGTTTGACGCTTTTGACCGCTGCACGCAAATAAACCACATGGTAGATTGTGCAATTATTGCTAATAAAAATGTTTATGGCCGCTGCTGATGCCCATTGGCCGATGACTTCTGCTGGAGCGATATGAATCACCATAAATCTAAGTGCAGTATAAATATTTATCGTGATTTTATAATCATGGCAGTGCAGCATGATGACCCAAACTATAAGAGGGGGACAACCAACTTGCCTTGCATGCTCTGCACCAACAGCAACAACAACAAACACCGCGTTTGGCATGCGTGTGAATCGCACGCAGGCCAACTGACCAATGGCCAATGTCCAATGGTCACAGACCACATTTTCTTCTTTTTTTTATGGCAGGCAAATTTCGCACATGGCAGCGTCGTGATTTGAATGGCGCAGATAAAAAAGGTCGCGCGGTCTTAGAAAGTGGGTTAATTAGCAGGCGAAGCAGATTCGAGTACCTGGATCCGCATGTGGACCCCACAGCGCACATTGCTCCAATAAAACATAACGCATTGGAATGCCCAATACTTGACCTCAAATGGCGCTGCCGGCAGCGACTCGAATGTCCAGCTAAGGAGGATGCGACTGCGGATGAGGACGAGGACGAGGACGTGCTGCTCGCGCACACGTCACGGTTAATTGGGCATTCAAATGTCAAGTTCAATTTTGGGCTACATTAGCGTTACCTATAAAAGGGCCGTTCTCTCTGCGCTGCATAAAATGAGATTTATTGTTGCATTTTGCTGCCTGCTGACTGCTGCATGCTTCCAACGGCTGCTGCTGCATACATTTTTTTGGCCTATTGGGGCTGTGACTGCGTCCAACTCTGGTGGCAATGGTCCAGTGCTCATCTGGCCAAACAATTGCCGAACGAGCCACCCGATAGCCGTTGCGCTCGCCCAGTCGTTCGCTTTTAACTTTTGAATAATTTGGCCAAGCCCAAATCGTATAAATTGGAATATCATTATTAGCCCAACTTGAAGGTAAATTGCTATGAAGAACTAACCCCAACTTGCAACAATTTAAACGCCTAATGCAATGTTAATAAAGTTTTTTACGACATTGACGCGCTGCTTCCGATTTAAGTCTTATGCCAAAATCGAGTTCAAGCTAAACGGCTTTTTTTAAGCCAATTGGCAATGGTCTTTAGTTATGAGAGCTATAAAGAAAAACCTACAATTAGCTTAATTCAATCACACTGTTGTACCCTGTAAAAAAACAAAGAGGAGATACCCCCGACATCAAAATAAATGTGTTCTTTAAATAAATGCCTTTGCGATCTTTGTAGATGTTATCCAATATTATATATGAGGGAAGGAGAGAGGTAACGATGGATGGAGAGTGAGAGAGAGGGAGCGTAAGCACCCTATCTCTATATATCGAGATTTCTATGAGATTTTCATAACACATTTATTAATAAGAAAAGAAAAACTTTGAGTAAAAGATGAAGTTAACGAAAGACGATAACAGAGTGAGCGAGTGGAAGAAAACAGAGTATTTATATTTTGTAAAGAAGGTCAGACGAGTGTGCAGGGTATTTGCTGAACGAGTACCATTTCCCGATACTCTCTTACTAGTTAATATACTTAAGTTTCAATTAAACTACATAGCTTAAAAAATTGAAGTGCAGCCAATGCAAAGCCACAACAGTGGCACCAAAAGTTTGGCATTGCAAAATTGTTGTTGTTGTTGGTGTAATTTTTGGTGGCATAAATCAGCGATAAGAAAATTAAAAGCCATAAATTTGCAATTAATTTTTAATTTGCGCAAATTGATTAACATCAGCACGCTGCAAATGCCAAATAAAAAATGTTAGAAAATAAATCAAATTGTAGTTAAACATTTGATAAGCATTTCAATTACGGCAAGTTTCTTAAGCGTCTTTTAACCATTTCCGCTAATAGCAGAATTCAGTCTGCTCCTAAGCCAAAAAGTGCACAATGTAGCCTCTAGTCCGGATTGGCCGGTTCGGAAATACCTCAATTTAAGGGTAAGTCGGGGTATACAAGCCAATTTTGAGGAATCTCTTTGAATATTTGAGACGTGCTTAAGATTATGTCTCAAAAACTATATCCATTTATATTTGCGAATTGGGAGAAGATATCGAAAGATAAGAGGATTAACTTGTTCTGATATATGTATTATTTCTCTTTCCATGGGAAATATTTAAGCTTCTCGACTTATCAGCTAGCATGCATGTTGCTGTTACTTTAAAGCGAAATAAATGCCTTTTACTAAGGATTCAAGCATTTCCCATGATCAAACCTGGTTAAACTGTTTTCCTGCAATGAACCCGTCAACAATAACTGCTAACCAAATTCGTCTTTCTAAAGACTTGGCCCACAGCCAAGTAAATGGTACCGGGCATCAAATTGTAAAAGCCAAACGAAATGCTCACAGCTACAACCTACGCAATATGGCCAATAAATTAGCTGGCGCATAGTCTAAGCTAACAAAAAGTGTGAAGGTCTCGGTCGGGCCAATCTCTCAGTGGCTGGCTGTGAACCCAGCGAAACTAGCCAATAACATAAGGCGAACTGTTGACCCTGCTGTTGGTGTTGTTCTTCTTCTTTTTCTACTCTGCTGTGGCTGAACATTATAAGATGTGATTAATTATGCTGACATTAAATCGGCTAATAGAAATATATCTCGTTGCGTTGAAAATAATGTTGACGTGATTGTAATTGAAGTTGTTGCTTTTGCCAGTTGGCAGTTTCTAGTTTCTAGTTGCCAGCTGCTTGTTGTTTGAATGTTGCCTGTTGCCTTTAACCCTGCGGAAAATTGCCTTTTCACCGAGTGCTGTGCAGTTTATTGCAAATTTGTTTGTTTGCGCTCATGATAACTGATGGGGAAAATGTTGTGAAAAGCGCTTACGAAAATACAATATGACAGAGTACATTAATCACATTGATAATTGGCAACTGTTTCACCATAATGCTGGCTTTCACGCCAGCAACAGTTGTGCCAGCAATTTGGCCAGTTG